GCGTGAGTTTTAAGCCACCGGGTCCGGGACGTGAACCGCAGTCGACTACATGGGAGTCCAGCGACATAGCCATTACGCTAACTGCTGGTTCCCAATAAATAATTCTTTAAAAAAAAGAAAAGAAAAGAAAAGAAAAGAAATACATAAATGGGGACCAGCAGTTGGTGCAATGGCTATGTTGCTGGGCTCCCATGTAGTCAACTGGAGTTCAAGTCCCAGATCCCGTGGCTTAAACTCATGCCAGGCATATGTGCGTACATGCCCAAGATCCCAAGAGGAAAATGGAGAAGGGAGTGCAGCGTGGCCATCTCCCCTGGGGGGTGATTTCTGTCTCTCTGTCTCTCTGTCTTCTGGTGAGCACACACACCCTATAGCAAAAACCTCTCAAAAATATATATATAAACATTAAAAAAAAAAAAAACTCTCTGTCCTTCTCACGCATGTGTGCACTCTCTCTGTCTCATTATAAAAAAAAAGAAGAGGTGAAATAAAATACAGATTCTTAGGCTTAGCTAAAATAGCATGTGCTGGATGCTGGCTGCTTAGCAGTCTGAGGCCACGTCAAAGGTCAGAGTTTGATTCCCAGCTAACACTGAAAAGCTGGCACAGTGGCACACTCCTGGAAATCCAGGTACTTTAAGAAAGTCCCAAGACTCACTCTTTTATGTTTTTGTGTGTGTGTGAATAAGTTACACCTTTATTTTCCAGAAGCAAAAATAACAAGTGGCAACTTGCCTTTGTAAAAGACATTAAAGAATATCAGAGTAATAAGCTATCTATCTCATGGAGACAGGAGCCTCAGAAAGATTATTATACAAGTTTCAAAGAAAGTCCTATTAAATAAATCTCAGGATGATGCACTATTAGCTGAATCAACAAAACAACCACAACATCAAAAAATTATACAGAACTCATAAAGTGGTATGTGAAGAAGGAAATGGAAAATCCACGTACTGAAAGTTCTCTATAGCAACCATGAGGCTCAAATTGCTGAACCTACACCGGTTTGAAAAAGGTGGATCATATCCGGGGCGCGGATGACTAGGAAAATCCTGAACAAGTCAATCACACAGGGTGGCCTCTGTCCCTCCCATCCCCGCACCCGTCTTCACTCCCAGGCCCCTAGGTCATTAGAGGCCACACGCAGGTCTCTCTTAAATACAGTCCACCCGGTGCTGAGGGTCGCACCCCAAATCTACCTCGCTTCCACAAGGGGGGCTGCCCACAGAGGATATTGTCCCATTTTGAGGTCCTCGCACTTAAGCGTCTCCTCGCCCCCGGTGGCGGCGGTGGCGGCAGCCTCCCAAGGTCCCGTTGTGAATGACATAAACCACAGGACACCGAGGACTTGGACAGCCATGATTTCTGGAGAAGCCGGCCTGGAAGGCCAGGCGGCCGCCATGTTGGGGACCGGCACTTCCCCCCCGACTTCCGGTTCCCCCAAGACTCACTCTTAAACCACACATGTACACACGCACACACACAATACGTATTTGTAGGCTCCACTCAGAGATTTAATAAGTTCAGGGTAAGGCTTAATGCTTTGAAAGCTTCCCTAGATTTGAGAACTGTTGAACTAGGTTATATCTGGAATGCTTTTTGCTTAGCAAATTTGCCTCATGTGTTTGCTGTTGTTGTTTTATATTAGCCCATTATTTACTGTCAACAGGGAGAAGAAAAAAGTTAAAACACAAGAAGCTCCTAAGAGATTTCAGATCTTCTGTTAGGAATTTTTATGTATTTATCCCATTTAATAATTCTTTCATATAATTAATATCCCCATTTTAAAAATAAGAATATGGAGATGGACCCAGCTAGTCACCTGGTAGTTAAGTCAATGCGATCTCAAATGACTGACTGCACAGTCTGAGGGAAAAAAAACCTCTCAAAAAAAAAAAAAAAAAAAAAAATGTTGGACTCCCACATGGCTGACCATGGTTCAAGTCCTGGAACCTAGCAGCTTGCTTTCTCACTTTCCCTCCCTCTCTTTCTCACTGGTAAAATTAAATAATAGTAAGTAAAACAGGGACCAGCAGTTAGTATAATGGTTATGTCGCTGGACTCCCACGTAGTTGACCGCGGTTCAAGTCCTGGACCCGGCGGCTTAAACTCACGCCGGGTGTGTGTGTGTGCGTGCCAAAGATCCCAAGAGGAGAATGGAGAAGGGACTGCAGTGTGGCCATCCCCCCCTGGGGGGTGATTTCTCACTTTCTATCTCTCTGTCTCTCTCTGTCTTTCTGGCAAGCACGCACGCCCTATACCAAAATCCTCTCAAAAATAAATAAATAAAATAAAAT